ACTTGTGAACCTTAGTGAGGCTCAAATTCCTGATCTCTTAAGTAAGTTACTCTTGACGTAAAATTATTTACTTAAATTTTCATTCATTTATTTGTTATTTTTTAAACCTTCATAACTTACTCATAGTAATTTAGATTTATATGTTTCTTATACCATTAAAAATATAAAAAAAATTAATTTTTTTTAAAAAAATTAATTTTATTTCTTATTCTTTATTGGATAAAAACTTAATAAAAAAAAATTGTAACTAATTTTGTAGTATACAGTTGCTTGATTGCACTTGTTCCACTTGTTTTGTATTTTGCTTCTTTTATTTTTTTTCTTACTACTTTCACTTCACACCACCCATTACAAGAAATTCTTAATTGAAGCCATCTTGTAATTAGATTAAAAAGTGAATTTTACACTTATAACATGTTTTTTCTTCGAATAGATGGCAAGATACAATGCATTTGGTATCATGACTGTAAAAAGAACTTGCAATATTTGGTGATTTTACTAAAAGTAGGAACAACTTCTAACAACGCTCTAAGTATTTTATTTAAAGGAAGTTATGAAGGTCTCAACAACAATCAAGTAATTGGGTGGTCTTCTTGCCTTGGTATGAGACACTATCAATAGTTGAAAGGCCTTATCAACCATCTTCAAAGAGAAGAAAGATCAAAGTATGTAGCAAATATAATTCTTCACATTTTAGGTTTCTTCAACATATGATGATCGCTCCTTGTAGAAATTGTCCCTTGAAGGAGAGGTAATGTCATGGACATACACATGTAAACCAATAATTACTTACATGATTAGATAAAAGTAGGTAAAAGTAAGTTAATTCTATAATATCTTATATAGAAGCTTCAAAGAAGCTACTTTGACTTTATAAGTGTCTATGATTGATTTTTTAGGTTAAAATCATAGTCAATAAGTTAGCCATATGCCACACATATTGATAGCTTAAAGAACAAGCTAACTATGTGGTACATACATAAAAAAATTGCCTTGAAAGTTAAAGCATGTGTCTCACAAAGTCAACACATATTAAAGGTCTTATAAAACATTGCGACATAGCTCCTAGTTAGATAATATATATAGAAGTAAGAATGAAGCCGTCTTCACTCTTATCAGTTATTTTCTTGCTTCTCATCTAGATTCAAGAGTCTCTAATTTTCTTGTCTTTTCGCAATAGTCATTCCAATTTTTTTTAATATATATATTTCTTTATTTTTATTATATTATATTTGTTCATTTTCTTTCATCAAGTTCTTGTCTTTGATAAGAATTTCTAATATATGTTGATTTTACAAGCCACATGTCTTAACTTATAAGGTAAGTTTTTTATGTGCATACTACATAATTAGCTAGTTCTACAAGCTACCTACACATATGACATGTGGTTAAGTTGTTGACCAAATTTTTAAATTAAAAGTCAACTATAAACACATATAAAGCCAAAACCATGTCTAGAATATAAAGTCAAAATCATGTCTCGAATATAAAATAGTTCCAATCTTTAGTAGTCTTTTGTAAGGTCGATTGATCTTGATATTTTGTCAAAGAAGCCATATTTTATCTCTAACTTATAAAGCAAAAAATTATTTTTTAAATCTTTTAGAACATGAATTAGATTACTAAAGATTGGAGCTATTTTATATTCAAAAGCAAATCAATCAAGTAGCTTATTGGTTGGAACGACCCACATCTATAAAGATACATCTAGTCTTTTATGTTTCTTTTTTAGAAGCTTATTTAGAATCAAATTTTTCAAGAAGAATATAATCATTACTACCTTGCATTGAAATTGATAATCATATAGAATATGAGGTGGAAAAGATCCTTGATTTTCAAAAAAATAGAGGTAAGTTAGAATATTATATTCATTGGCATGATTACAATATCAATGAATATATATATATATATATATATATATATATATATATATATCAATATAAAATCTAATTAATATACCACAAAAGATACATGAGTTTCATCAATACTATCCTTAAAAATCCAAACCTATTTTAGGATGATTTTTTTATAAAATTACTATTAAAATATTGTATATATTGAAGAAAGCAAATATGAAATTGATGATCTTTGTAGAAGTCAAAGTTAAAAAAAGATGTGATATTACAAACATCCAACAAGAAGATTTAAGAAATATTTTTAGAATATTTTATTAAATTTTAGAAATTTTCAAAAAAAAATTAAAAGATTTCTAGAGGATTTTAAAAGATTATTAGAATATTCTAATAAGTTCAAAAAAGTTCTAAAAAAAATTTAAAAATTATCCGAGAAGCTTTCTAGATTTGCTTCCTCTTCAAGGAATATGAGAATTTTTTATGAAGCTTTTTAAGGTTGCTTCATCTTTAAGCAATATAGAAACTTCTTATGAAGCTTTCTAAAGTTAATTCATCTTCAAACAACATGGAAACTTCTTATGAAGCTTTCTAATGTTGATTCATCTTCAAACAACATGGAAATTTCTTATGAAGCTTTCTAAAGTTGATTCATCTTCAAACAACATGAAAACTTCTTATAAAGCTTTCTAAGGTTGTTTCTTCTTTAAGGAATATGAAGACTTCTTAAAAAACTTCTTAATATATCATATATTTGGAGTCAATGTTGACGGGATCTTCAATCTTGACAACACATCTCTTGGAGCTTTAGTTCACCTTCTTGGTATTGATCTTATATTCATCTAATTTAATTAAGTTCTTGTTTGCTTTCATATTAAAACTTTTTGTTTCAACTTCTTGATTAGTGTCATATATAGTATTTTTGTAACAGTACTTATTATGCAATTTTTTGTAAATTAATTGTGCTATAAGAATTTAGCTAATTCCCTCAAAGAAAATCTCCTAAATAGTTTGTTGGCTTGCGGTTATGGTCTACCAAGTAGTACAAATCAAAAGCTTGCTATTAATTTGCAAGTAGTAAAAATCAAGTGGTACAAATCAAAAGCTTGCTATTAATTTGCAAGTAGTAAAAATCAAGTGGTACAAATCAAAAGCTTGCTATTAATTTGCAAGTAGTAAAAATCAAGTGGTACAAATCAAAAGCTTGCTATTAATTTGCAAGTAGTAAAAATCAAGTGGTACAAATCAATAGCAAGCTTTTGAATATGGTTGTGCAAGTACGTTATATTTTTTAGCTTCTTCTTCTCTCATTTCTTTAATGTCACACCCTTGTAGTAGTTCAGCCACAACCACCTTTTCTTTGACCATCTTTAGAAGACTTTTTATTAAATATCTCTTACTTTTAGGCTATATAGAGCATGAAAGATTTTAATTTTTATTAAAAAAAAAAAATTCAAGAAAATATATCTTGAAAAAACTAAGATCCAATATTATTGCTAACGTATGCTTTTATTTTTATACAATAAAAAGATACTAAAAATAAAATAAGATTTGTACAAAAATATTAAGCAATTTTGTTTACACCTCTTTCTTCAAATAAGATTAATGACCAGCCTAGTTGTCTCAAATCCTACTCTCCTTGTGTAAGAAATGAACTTGTCAATGGTGAAGGCCAACTGCACATGTACACCTTTGCTATAAAATCTCTTTATTATGTACAATAACTTTTGTATAGGACACAAAGAGAACATTAGATGGAAATGAAGGGGATCAAAATGAAGATTGAGAATGGAAAGAGTAGAGGCTAGGAACAAAGGAAATTTGGATGAAGACTAAGAATACAAAAAATGGAGAAAATTGATATAAAGATCATGATTCTAATGATGGTTTTTGAAATGATCCATTTTTCTAATAATGGCTACAATAGAGTGGATTGATTTAGTAAAACAATGAGTCACTTTAATATTTATTTATTTGTATATATATATATATATATATATAGAGAGAGAGAGAGAGAGAGAGAGAGAGATTTCATTATTAAATTTAAAGTACTATGAATTATAAAGAATATTGTTATTATTGTTATTTTTTTTGGCTTAATCTAAAATTTTGATTAAAAGATTTACCACGTCTTTTTGTTGCAAATAAAGTGATATTATTTTATTATTTTATTATTACAATAGAATATTTTTTACACCATTAATAATTATATTTTTTCCAAATTTTTATGTATATTAAATTTTGAAATATATTAAAACAATATATTACAACAATATTTTTTATTTACATCATAATTTTTAATAAAATAGCAATGTCTTGTAATTTGAAATTTCAATTCAAACTATAATTTGAAAGTTGATAGGTTTGTAATGTCAATATTGTTTAAACTAATATTTTTATTGTTTAAAATAGGATTTCTGATTTATTTTAAATCAATAAATAAAATTTAATATTATTTCAGTCTAAATACAATTGACTTTACCTTGCAGTTGGAAGTAGGAATTGACAAATGAAAGAATGATTTAAAGAAATGAGTTCTAACGTATCAAGCTACTAGATATATAATGTGATCTGTATACGTATGTGTGTATATGTACATTACATAGGCAGATAGGTAGATACATGCATGCATACATACATATTGCAATAGATCTTCCCCTCGAGGGAAGGGGGAGGCCAGCACAGTAGGGAAGACGAAGGAAATCCATCCATCCATAAAGCCCAGGCATGCATTCGTCCATTCATTCATCCATCCATTACGATGGCCCCACCAGAGGGTCAGGGTGGCAATCCTGATGCTGATGCGAAAGCAGCGGAAGGTACAGCAGCACGACGGAGGGTGGGAGGGGGAGCAAGGATGGGAGGCGGAGAGGGAAGAGGAGGGAGGGGAGAGGAGAGGAGAGGAGAGGCAATGAATGGCACACTCACAGCCCTTCCATCCATCCATCCATCCATCCATCCATCCATTAGTTTGTTTGTTTGCTCGGCTCCACCCTCCTCCCCTTTCCCTTCCCTCCCCCCTTCGCTTCCCTTCCGCCCCTCGGCCGAATCGGAGTCCGTGTGCCCGTCACGCATGAGATCCATGCCACCTCCCCCGCACAGGGCTGAGGAGGGCCATGCCCGGATGGATGTGTGCACGAGGGGAGGGGAGGGGAGGGGGAGAGGGGTCCATGCAACCCGAGGTTGCCCTAACCATTAGGTGTCTTGAGTTGCTGCCACAAGTTTCCCTTGCACTCTGCTTAACAGAACTCCAATTGAACCAACTGCGTTGCTTGCCGCAATTCCATCCCCCTCTCTCTCTCTGCTCATCACCCAACTGTCCTAACACAGCGCTTGCGCCATTCATTTTCTCACCACCTCCTCATTCGCATGCAATGCTCTCCGCCTTTCTCCCACTGGAGTTAAACTGTTCATTCAGGTCAGCTCCCCTTTCTCGTGTTGCCTTATGCACTCTTTTATCTTCCATACTTAGTCGCTCCCTCGCCTCCCCATCTCCTTCGTTTCTACCACTCATTCTCTGAGCTTTGATTGTGGGTGCCTTCCTACATCTAGAACCATTTCTAGTCTTCTTTGTTTAGTTGTGTAGTTATTCATGTGGTTTCAAGTCAAGCAGAACCTTCTGAGAATTTTGTCTTGTAGTTTTTTCTTGCGGTTTTCAATTGGGTGTCTAGTCATAATCTTTCTCTGTGTAGTGGATGTCGAATTCGAAATTCGACGAATTGCGTCTTGAAAAGGCCCATGACTGGGGATCGGTCCGCTTTGTAGTGTCTGTGGCGCTCTGAACGCCGTACCTTGATGTTTGCAGGATTTGCTAAGGGCCTCCGTGAGTCTTGGCGACGCTTTAGTTGGTAACAATCCAAGATTCATATCGAAGTGCGTATTTTGACGCGGCTTTTAGGACACGAAGTGCAGACTTAACAGAAGCCGCTATGGAAAGCACGGCCGAACTAGTGGAGTTCCCGCTGCTAAAGCAATGGGTTGATTATACCTACAGACCGTGCACAATCCCATGGCGATTTCCTTCTGATAAACCACACCAGGCCACTCCCACTGAGATTTTATGGATCGAATTGTTTCGAAAATCGATTCCAAGTTTTAGGTAATCTTACCTTCACCTTTTTTCAATCTTTCAATTGGATCTATATTAGCTATGCCTTGCATCAAGTTTCGAAAGATAATGTACAAAATGGCATTGAAGGTATTATTAGGATTTAATTAGTAGAAGTGGAATAATGGAATGTTAATTTTTAATGTTTTGGATTAGATTAGATCGAGTTATAATTAAAGTGCTTGTAAGTAGAAATTGACCCCCCCCCCCTTTTCCCATTTACTTTTATTTTTATTTTTGTGTAAGAGTTTTTCCTGGATCTAAATTCTAGTCCTGTCAAAAAGTGTGAATTTTCCGCAGATTTGTGAACTTGTTAATGTGACAAATTTTCTTCTTTTATGGTATCGTAGACATGTCAAGCTGTTACGTTGTATTGTCCACAGATATCCCCGACAAAGCAAACATTTCTAATACAGCTATTCGAGCTGAGTTAAGGTTGATCTACGTAAATCCGATACTTGAATTTTCTTGTTTCTGCTTGTAGGAAACAGGCGGAACTTGATTCGACTGTGACAGATGCCCCTGCTAAAGCTGCCAAGTTTGCCCTGAGGTTTGAGATTCATCTTTTCTCCCTTTTAATGTTTCAAATGTTCCCTTACGTGTGTTGTGGAATACACTGTTCACAGTTCTACTATCGGTGGTGTTCTTCTAGAGGTTGCTTTTGCATTATATATTCAGCATGTTTATATAGTTGAAATCTAGATTTAGATGCATAATTACTGTAGGATGTATATTATTATCACTTTCTTCCACTTTTATCTAAGATGATGCTTTTGGTTTACTTCATTTTGACGCATATATTTCACGAATGCCTGCCGATCTTTGAAACATTGATGATTCTCTTACAGACGGTGGCATCATTACTTATTCTGGTGCTTTGCAGATATGGAGAAATTTTGGATGATATGTTGGCCGATCCAGAGAGTCATGGCGGACCACCGGATTGCATCGTAAGAATTTCAATGTTTTTTTCAGAAATTATGTGGTATTTTCTCAGGAGAGTATTGGTTTTTTCACGACTAATTTATGGAAGCCGCTTCAATTCTCTCTGTTTCTTTCCTCTGTCTAACTTGTTATTTTAAGGTGGCGACTTGTCCATTGTTCATTTTTACTGTGAGTTTGGGAATGTTCACAAGGTGCTTCTTTGTAGCAGCTTCTCACAAGGCTCCGCGATGTTGTCCTCCGCGAAGTAGGATTCTATGACATTTTCAGGAAGGTCAAGGTATTCTTTTGTCTCATTTGCATTATCGTGAAATAGTTACTTCGACTTAAATATCAATTTCCTCAATTACTGCTCTCTGATGCAACTGGGCTCAGTTTTTGCCGTTGTGCTAGTTGCATGCCTTGACTTAGTGTTTGTTATTCAAAGGATGATGAGAATGCAAAGGCTCTAGCGTTGCTGGAGGGAGTAATTGCCCAGGCTGATGCAATTAAAGACGTAGGAGCTCGTATAGACCATCTTGTGAAGGGTGTGTTTTCTGGAAATATCTTTGATCTCGGAGCAGCACAGGTATACTCTGATTTCGTTCTTCTTCGTTCTTTTACTCGGCTATCCTTTGACAAATAATTGGATTTATGGTTTGTTCTATATTGAATGGCCTAGTGATTTCAGCAGATGCAATTCTGCTGAAATGCACTGACTTCATACGTGGCTCTGGGTGGGTTGGAAAGCTAGCGGAGATCTTTGAGTCTACTGGTTCAAATTTTCAGGACAGTTTTGAGAAATTGCTTCCTCGCCCGTGGGTGTTGGATGATCTGGATATTTTTAAACAAAAATGGATATGTAAGCCTTGGAAAAAGGTATGTATATTCTGATTTTAAAATTACGTATGTGTCACGAATATTGTTGCTTTTAATCATGTTTTCACTGAGCATATGTGCCTTTGAGGTATTTCCGAAGTTTTGCGTTCGCAATTTGCTTTTTGGTTTTAAGCCTTGTGTTCGACTTGTACATTCGAAGTCGCATTTAAAAATGCAAGGTCATTTTTTATTGATTGTGTATTTGTGCATGGTTGACAAGGTCCTCAGACTATCCATAGCGCGTTTCTTTGCAGTTTCTTGATTCTTAGGGCAATCAACTCACACACATGTTCATGTCCTGCTGCAGGCAGTGATTTTTGTGGATAATTCAGGGTCTGATGTTGTGTTGGGGGTCTTACCATTTGCACGGGAGCTTCTTCGAAGAGGAACAAAGGTTTGTCACATGCCCCAACATATAGCTTGACTATTAAGTGTCCCGATTAATGTTTGTTGCTGTATTCTTGCTGGGCTCTACTTGCTTTACTGACTAGCTTTCCCATTTCAGGCGAGTCAACTTATTTTGCCGATGCGTAGTTGGTCAAAACAACTGCGACCTAGAGAGAATTTTATTTGTGATGGTATTCTATTATAGAATGCTTCAGCTCATGGGTTATAGTAGAATGTTTGATTGGGTCATTGTTATCCTTGAAACTTCGTTGTGAATTTTCTTATCTGGGGCTGATTATGAGTCTATATTGTCCGCAGGTGGTGTTAGCTGCTAACGACATGCCATCCATCAATGACATTACGTACGAAGAGCTAGTGCAAGTTATCTCAAAAGTAAGATTGTAGGACTTAAATATCTGAGTACCTTTTAAAATATTCGACTTCATTCATGTTTCCTACTTCCTCTGACCTTCAATTGCTGACACTTGACTAATTTGCTGATGTAAATATAGATGTTACAACTTCTCTTCGCACCTTATACTTTCGAACACGATTGCCGTCTTTGTTGTACCCAATAGCCTTGTTAAGGCATGTTTGTTGCTTGCATGGACTACACAAATTGTATGAATGTCAAATAAATCATTTTTTACATGTAATACTATGACGAAGCCCTCGATAATTGCAGGCTAAACACGTGACGTCAGACGGAAAAGAATCGTTTTACGGCGTGGATGCACAGCATCTTATGGTTTTGAATTCTGGAAGCGATTTGCCAGTAAGTTAGTCTTGGCACTCAAGTGGGTTCATGGTTTGCATCTTCGGTCAGCTCAAAGAGAGTACTAAAAATGGAAAATCTTTGTTAATCCAGGTTCTCGATTTGTCTCATATTTCTCCAGAACTGGCTTATGCAGCAGAAGATGCAGATTTGGTTGTGATGGAGGGAATGGTAAATGATAACTGATTTCTTATCTTTTCCTTCGCATTGCGTCAGCGAATCGTGTTGAAACATGTGTGCATGAACATGTCTGATAAGAAAATGTGTTACGGAAAACGTGCATGGTTTGTGAAGCCAGTTAGCTCATCTTCCTGTTGTGTGCCAATTCAATCTAGTGAGCATACAAGATTGAGTTGTGAGATCTGTTGAACATGATTTCACACTAGACATTTTCTTCCAGGGGCGTGGTATCGAGACAAATTTGTATGCACAGTTTAAATGTGATTCGTTGAACATTGGAATGGTAAGTACCTGCTTTTTATTTCACGTAGATACACGAAGTCAATTAGTTCTTCGTTCAAGCAGATGAGATTTAGTGCAGATAACCATGCTTTTGTTTATGGAAATACGCTGTGAAGTACCTTAAAATAACTAAAGTTATTTAAAATAGCAATTAAGGTGATTAGCTGGTTTGCGATTACGTTCAGGTGAAGCATAAGGAGGTGGCCGACTTTCTTGGTGGACGGCTCTATGACTGCGTTATCAAGTTCACTGAAGCCATCCCCTAGGATCTCTGCCAGTTCTAGCTCAAGCAATGTGTTTTTGCTCAAGCGTGTAGGCTGCCACTTCCTGACGTTATTGTTTTACCCTGGATACAGTTGTCATTGTAGAGGTTGAAGGTTACTGGATCACTGCAGATGCCTCGAAAAATCAATTATTGGTAGCTTAAAGGTTGTATTTTATTATAAGTTCTGGTGTCCACCTGAATGACCATTCTTTCTTTATATGATTTATTGTAATAATCATTCTTTACACCTTTCAATTCTTTCACGTATATAATATGAGCTCCCTGAACACACTAGAGATTCCTGATGAAAATCATGCTTAAAGTCTGGATTATCCGTATATTCTACCTCAGTACCATGCGTAGGTAGAGGATAAATTTTTACTCACCACCTTGAATTGGCTGTGTAATAACCTAGTTTATAGACTCCCAAGATGTGTAATAATGTTATGGCACATACGTTACCGTGCTTCCTTGAGGTGGAATAATAGAAAGCATACAATATTAGCTTAATTGTCGTTTGATTTGTCAGTCAATTCTCGACAGTGAATGTTTCGCTTTTGGGGGTAATTGTTAATAACGTTACTCAAATTTGGGTGCAATGGTTGGGGCAAGTCCTATGATGTATTTCAGAGCAAAGATGCCCACTTTCAGAAGCAGACAATGTTCTTCAAAACCTTATTTTGTGAATGTTAACCTTGTCAAACGTTGCGGTTCTTGATATTTCCTTCTCATGAGAATTATCTCATGTTCAACGAGCGGTTACATGCCTTGAGGAAATCAACATCACGTCAGGGCAACTTGTGGTTGATTGTCATGCCAATCCCTTCAAAAGTCATTATCAAGTAATAAGCTGTTAGAATTGAGGTAGGCATTCGTGATTTATATCAAAACTACCCTCAACATTCAAGTTAAAATGGGACCCCATTGCGAAGACGAACCAGAAGATTTAATATCACTCCTGGCATGTCTATAGGTATCCAGATTTGTGAATTTAGAAGTCTACATATATTTTAGATGAAAAGCACCCTTTTAGAAGAAAAAAAAGTCGTGTGAATCTTTACTGTCAATGCACAAAAACTACAAGTGGCAGTGCCACTACTATTGCAAAGGTCCTAGTTCCCCCGAAAGCTCTGAATCAACATCGTTCAGAGAAAACCCCAGCTCCGGCCTTGAGCTTCCCCTCCCAAATGCAAGACACCGGTTAACGTTTTAGGGTAACTAGGACACCACAATCGTAAACCCGTACAAGTGACTGTAATGCTTATTGTTTTGATAGATGAAATCACTCTAACGACTCCGAAATCTTCAAATTCACATCCTTCGAAGAAAATCCACCTGCCCTTCCATCGAGTTCTCTCGCACGTAATAAGAGGCACTTGGAACCGAGAAATAGTATGTTCAAGCCGGAGTCAAGGGTCACAAGAAACGCATGACCAGCTAAACTACACGTGACAAGTACGATACAATATCGACATCGTAGCAGGGGGCCAACCTAGAGAGGGTAAATCGTTTGTGGCAGAGAATCGTTATACGCTTGATTTTTAAGGTACACGTACACGTGAGGATGGTCCACATCCAGAAACACCTCATTTGTGTTCAGTGATGGACACGTTTTCATGTCGATACACAGGTCCGATCCCCCAAAAACATAAGCCAGTCCACCCGAAGATGCTGCCGTAGTGCGAAAACGGGCTGTTGGGATGAAAGCTTTTTGCACCCATATTCCGTCGTCCGCGTAGTAAACCTGCAGCCCCCGTGATTTAGGCTTTATTGACATGACAGGTAACTGGCCAAAATAATCTCAACGAAATGAATTAAGTCAGAAATGAGCTTTTAGAGAATGTGGTAGATAAAAGTACCTCATTAACATGCTTCGGATACTTGTACTGTTCATTGTTCCTGTAGTGCCCTTCTCCGCCAATAACCATGATCCTATTTCCAGGAAGGACTGTTGCACCCTGCTCAAGCACACAAATTTATGATAAACGGTTTGAATCTTCCTCTTACAGTGCATAGCTAAACCAGATGATGAGCATTCTATCACTTAACATACCGCATCTCCTCGGGGGGTCAACATGTGGGGCCTTATGGTCCACTTATTCGTAGCCGGATTGAACGATTCCACTTTGTCTGAGAATGCGTTGGCAGCAAAGTTAGGATCCTGAGAACAAAGTGTCACCGTGAGAATGTTAGATGCTTGCCAGTGACTCGATCCATAAGCCTCTACCTTGCTGTTGATTTCACTGTGCCAAAACCATTCTCATAATTTGATCAATCATACAGTGACATTCTTCGTCGCAACTGCTAAAATACAACTTGATCCAATCGAAGAAGTAAAACACACTAGATTCACTTACATAATATCCTCCCAAAGCGTATACTTCACCCATGAAGTTGACACACATGAGGTCACCCCTCGGGGTTGGCATATCAGGCTTTTGGGTCCACGTATTTTTCGCAGGATCATACTCGTAGTTTGCAGGAGGAATCTTGTAATCGACGTCGTAGCCACCAATTAGATAAACCTGTATGTATGCAGCAGAACCTTAAAATGATTAGACACACTCTAGTGACCAAGTTATCAATTCCCTTTTTCATCAAGTTGTAACAGCGAAAAGAAACGTGGCTTATGCTTCTGAGTCTATCTACCTTGCCGCCAACACTTCCAGCACAGTTGTCACTCGCATTGATTGGAGCGGCCGGAGCGACAGTCCATGTATTCGTGGGGATGTTGTAAACGTACAAGTCCCTCACTGTAACATTCTCATTTAATCTTCCTCCTACCACATATATGGTATCTTGCTTGCCGTCTGGAACACCATGGCCCACCTGTTAAGCACTCCTCATAATGGGCAGGTTTCATTGCAATGTGTAGAAAATCTCAATTTTGGGGAAATCTATTCCTACACTTCAATATAGCAAATCACAATTGCATGTTGCATTACTAGTGCTAATCCTATCAACTTATGATTGTAGACCAACTAAAAACACTTAATTGCAGCAAGAGATTTTTTTTCCTGGGAAGCAAACAAGACAACTTACTATCAAGAAGAGTAACTCCCATGCGATATCGGGGGCCAGGCATCTTAGCCATCTGGGTGTAAGTGTGCAACACAGGATCGTACTTGAGCACTTGATCCAGCACGGTACCATTTTTATCTTGTCCACCCAAGATGTAAACCGATTCGTTTACACCCACCGAAGAATGATCCGCCAACGGCCCTGCTAGTCCATAGCACAGATGTCACATACACTTTCGAAACATTAAAAACTTTTCACGCCGTAAATAGTAGACAACGTGAAGAGGCGGTACTTTTGTTGGAACCTACTGCAATGATATTGAATTGTACAGAAATCAAACTCACGTACAACTGGAAGGTCACTAGAGTGACCACGCTACAACCAGCAAGTGAAGGGGTGCAATTTATCGCACTGTGGACGACAGCGATTCGCACGTGAAAGCTTTTTTGCGCCGGCTATCCTCCACGACTATAATTAATTATAACGTGATCAATAAGGGAATTCAGGACAAGTACAACACTAAATGAAATATATAGGGACACCAGAGAGGAGAGGGGAGAGGAGTATGCGATGCAATTACCAGGAAGAGGAAGCTTGGTGGCCCAGAATCCACTGCCGCGGAACAAGCTTCCACCGTAAGTGACATCAGCCTTGTTACGAAGACTGGACTGACCGGAGCCAAGGATGACGGACTGAGCATGGGCGAGACTATTCAAGTTACTGATTTTTTTAGCCTGACTGACCCCGACGGCAGCGATGGCGATAAAGAGGGCCAACACAATGAACGCGAGAAGCAGCGTTAGGAGCTTGGCCGTGCGCACACTCCTGCGGAGACGTTGGAGCTCGTAATTGACGCTAGCGGCGTCGGACTCCATTCCCATGCCCTTCATGACACCACTCTAGTAGGAGGAGGAAATGATCGTGATAAGAACAAAGAGGTGGGGGGAGGGGGGGGGGGGGGGGTATATAAAAGTCCGGGAGGGCCTGCAAAAAGAAAAGCAAGGGACAAGTCCCAACAAAAGCCAGTGGGAAAGGGGAGGATAAAGTGCTGCCGGAAGAGCCAAGTATTTTAAAGGGTTGCGGAGGAAACCCCCAGGTTGACCACCACCTGGTGGAGTGCAGCAGTGCTTGGTGGACCCCAAAGAAAAATTCCCTGTTGTCGTCGAGGACCAAATTGGCTCCCAAAGCTGGGACCATGCCGGGCGCATATTCCATGGATAGGTACTTGGAGGCCGTCCTTGTGATGCCCGGCACTCTTGCCGGGCACTATTGCATTGTATGCCCCCTCCACTTGGGGATGCGCCGACGTCGTCGTCCTCTCTCGGGGAGTCGCCTCGTCTCGGTGTCTTGTTCCCCCCAGTGTCACCCCCGCCCAGGACATATAAGTTGCCCCTTGAATATCCCCCCCCCCCCCCCCCCGGGTTTTTTTTTGGGTTTTTTACACCTTTTTCCCCCCCGTTTTTGCCCCCCCCCCCCCCGTTTTTGTTGCCAAAACTTTTCCAAGCGCCCTCTCGAACCCCCCCCCTTTAAAAATGGACCCCCCCCCCCCCCCCCGCTCTCTCTCTCTGCCTTTCTCCACCTTCTTCCTCCTCGTTTTGTCCCCCCTCTCTCCGTTTTCTGCTGCCTAAACTTTTCACTGTCGCCTCTCGGATCCCCCTCTTCTACAAGTTGATCTCCGTTGCCCTTCACAGGCATATTCAGATGTTATTGATATTTATGCCACTAGACTGAAACATCAAAATGTGCTTTTTAGTATTTTTTGAAGTTACCTTCGATTACAAGTAAAACAGGCGTATCTGTTTGATAGTAATCATATTAAATTTTTTAATGACCATTAACTTTTATTCAAAACAGGGCATATATTTTATAAGTTTTGAAATCTTAACTTTGCACTTCACAATCGCAAGTTTTTTGAGTCAACTTCTAATTATATTTTTTCATTTCAAACAGTGTTTTATTATTCTTATTATTGTTTTTGTTAATATAGAGATAAAATCTGCAATTATACATAACAGTAAGAAATTATACAACACAAACCATGCATAATAACATCTATATAATTAAAAATTGAATTACTTACAGCACAAAATCAAATTACTCCATCAATAGTAATTTCAACCACTATAGCAAAGGCCACTTCTTAAAAGTAAATAAATATGAATGTTTCAGAAATAAATCACTGTATTTTGAGATTGATTTGCTTTCAAAGCTCAAGTCACCTTTCTTTAGCCTATTTTGATACTAAAAATAAAACATCAAACATAGCATGATGAACTTGTTTCCAAGTATCAGACATTTTCACCATATTTTTCAGTTTAAATTGGACAAAGAATATATACATTTTTTGATATAAAACAAGAATGGGAAAGGATGGATGAATCATGATACATCATGAAGCCAGTAAATTAAAGGTAAAGAAAGAGAGAGATTGGAGATGGAAGGGATCTTCAATTAGACAGACTTGCATGTACTCTCCCGCTGCAGGCAAAGGATGCCAGGATGGATGTCGAATCCTAAGGATGACAACGAATGACGACGAAGAGGATGCTCTGCAGAATGTCGTCGAGAAAGAAGGAATGTCGTCGACCATTTATCATTCGTTCGAATCAAACCATGCAGTAATGTAGGTTTACGTACGGGTCTTACGCAGGTGTTTTATTGAAACCTAGATTTGTGGGTTTCGTCAAAAAAAACAAAAAAAAACAAAAAACAGGTTTAATTATTTCTCACCTGAGCATGCATGACAGAGTTGCGAACGGGGCAGCGACGGTGGGGCGGTGGTTTCCCCTGCCAACCAAAGGCCGTCTATGGAAGTGAAGCGAAGCCAAATATATGGGGTCGAGGAGGGAGGGAGGAAGGAAGGCCCTGCCCGATACTCCGGGTGACCATCCCTGCAGCATCCAGTGCGCTTGGGGGCGCTAGTATCAGGAGGCTCATAGGTAGGTAGGTATATAGGAAGGAAAGGGCGGTTGGTAGGTTGCCAGGTAGGCTGCAAAGCAGCCCCCCAGAGTGGAGGTGCAGGTGCAGGGTGGTTAACGAAGATTCCCGGGACCGGGACAGCACCAGAATCAGCACGAAGGGAATCCAATGACGAAGATTCTACATTCATCCATCTATCCAGGCCAGATGGGCCCACTTTGTGCCCACCACGATTCTGTTGGGAACGAATCATTCCCCTCATCCCATCATATCGAATCCCATGCCATGCCATCCCCGCGCATCTCAGATTCTCTAGAACCTTCGGGCCACTACCGTTTGCAATTGAGACACATTCCTGTTTCGTAATTGTCATACTGATTCTTTATCATCATCATCATCATCATCCATCTCCGCACCATTCGTTTCCTTTTAAAACTGCCGTTTCCTGCAGTTTGGTAGTTTTGAAGCGTCTATTTTGCAGAATTTTACATCACCTCACCACTCTTTTTTTCATTTCTTTTTACATCCTCATTCAATGAATTTCAGAATAGTTTTATGCTTTATCTATTAGGAAAATTCTAAAAATAGTGAATATTTAAGTAAAATTTTAAAATAATCTCATTTATAAATTTATTTCCAAGAAGAATAATATTAAAATTCATATAATTATTTTCAGTTGAATATACAGTGACAAACAAAACCGAGTACAAAATCTGAACACTCATAGTTCATTGATCCTTCCAACTGACACATAAGTCAATTGATAGAATTACTTTTTTATTGTGTGTATTCATCTAGTCCTCTACATGGATGAAAAATCTCATTATCATTTGAGGTAGGGTTTATGAGAAAAGTGTTGTAGAAGCACACAGATGTGCGTACTCAGTTTTGGTTGCTTCTTCTTGCTGAATTTCGAAATTTCAATGTACACTCCTTGTTGCAAGATTTGAGGGTATTTTTTGTTTGTTGTGTTGCTCTTGTTGTGTACTATCTATAGTGAAAGTTGATTTGTCAATTGTATTTCTATGCCTCGGTTGTGTGAATCATTGAAGCACCAAGCATTGGTGCAGCTTAAGAGTGGTGTTTCTACAAGAAAAGTTGCAGACTCACTTGGAATGAGTCAGTCTTCAGTAGCTCATCTGAGGAGGGAGATTAGTGGTGAAATAGAAAAGCAAAGAGGAGGACGTCCAAAGGTTTTAGGAGAGCAAGAGAAGTGACTTGGTGTGCACCTTGTCACTGCTGGTTGTCTCAAAACAGCAAGTGTAGCTGCAAAACAACTTCGAGAAAAAACAGGTAAACACTTCTCAGACATCACCTTGAGGCATGGTTTGAGAGAAGCTGGTTTGGATGCATGTGTGAAACAAAAGAAGCCTCTACTTGCCAAAAGACATGTTCTTGCAAGGTTGAGTTTTGCTCATAAATACAAAAATTGGACCGTTGATGATTGGAGACGGGTTATTTTCAATGATGAGACAAAGATTAACCTAATCAACTCAGATGGTAGGTCTTGGTGTTGGTTGAGAGAAGGAGAACGACCGGGACCTAAACATGTTAGTCAAACTGTCAAACATGGTGGTGGTTCAATTATGATTTGGGGTTGTATGACTGCTTTTGGACCGGATGCTTGGTATCAAATTGAAGGTAGAATGGAGCAACACTTGTACAAAAAAATTTTAGAAACCTACTTGCAAAGTACCACACAGAATTACAACTTAGATCCTACTAAGGTGGTTTTTCAACATGATAATGATCCCAAACATATGGCAAAAAGTGTTCAGTTTTGGCTCTCTTCACAGCCATTTCAGCTCCTTCGATGGCCAGCTCAATCTCCAGATTTGAATCCAATGGAACATTTTTGGGCCCTTCTCAAACAACGTTTAAGCCAAGTCACTCCAAGGCCAAGAGGTGTTCAAGAATTTTGGGAGAATGTTTGTAGTATTTATCCTAGTTTTGATGCAAAAGATTGTGAGAAACTATACAAAAGTATGCCAAGAAGGATTTCAGCTGTTTTGGAAGCAAAAGGTTATTGGACTAAATATTGAAGTTTGAAGATTTTCTTTGAACAATACTGAGTACAAGACATAGTTGTTGATTTGACTTTGTAGAAGGATGTTTAGTTATCAATTTGATGTGCAACTTTGTACATGTGTACAAGACTATGTGTATTATTCCATGTAACTTTCAGATTTATAAAGCAATCATTGAAATTTCTGTAATTGCTCTTGAAAGTTGGCACTTCAGATTTTGTACTCGGTTTTGTTTGTCACTGTATATGTATATATATATATATATATATATATATGAATAAGAGTTCCATAGGTATATTGCAATAATTAATTTAAGTTGATATAGTTATGATTCTAAAAGTAGAAAATCATGACTTTAAGTTTTGTTTGTACCAAATCCTTATATATATATATATATATATACATATATATACATATACACACATTATTAGCATAAATACATAGATATAAAAAAAATTAATTAGTTAAAAAGATGATATAAACTTAACACCATAAACTATTTTTTTTTTTTTTTTTTTTTTTTTTATACTGACATCAACATCTATTAGAGGACTTAAACAAGTGGCATAAGTTATTAAAAAAAATTAAAAGAAAAGAAACGAAAAGAAACTAAGAGCTTGAGTTCAATGTATGTCAATACCAACTAATAAGTGCTACAAATTGGAAAGAAATCAAAGAATAATTCTTCTTGTATTAATATTTTTTAATATACTAAGAAATTAAGTTGGACATACTTTTGCCAAAGATGATGCTACTTTAAATTCTAGTCTGATGATATTATTTTAGCAAGTAAATTAAGGATGTAATTTTATAAATGATATTAAAATAAATAAATATATAAAAATAAAAATCTAATATTTTAATCTATGCTTCAAAATTTAGATGTTTTTATATTTAATTTTAAAAGTTAGTATTATCATGTGAAGAAAACAAAGTTGAGATTTTTACGATTATACCACAAAATAAGTATATAATTGGTAATAAAACTAATATTATTATATTTTTATTTTTTT